GGGTGGTCGGCAACGTCATTTGTGTTCTGATAACGCCTCACCAATGCCGATATCGTGTGACGATGGCATTGGAAATGTGTTGCCACCTGTTGTTGCCTCCTTCCCGCTCGTTCATTCCAATGGCTTCATGACGCTGTGCAGCTGTCAATCTTTGGCATGATTTGCTTGTGATATGCTTGTGTCTGCGCCTGAGAAGTTTTGAATTTTTGAATGACCACAGATCATGCTTTCCAGAGTGACAGCGAATTTTGAGTTGCACGTGCTGTTAACAGCTGCACAGAATGCACGTGCAGTAACACATTGCACGTCCATAGGCCCCCATGAATGACGTCATATCGCATAGCACGTGCATGAGCGTTTGAATGTCTCCAATAATTGCTGTGTTCAAACCTATATTTCATATATGGACGGTGTGCCCTTATATCTATATTTTCTCCGTGCACAGTTTCTTTAGTATATAATGCCAACGTGGGTGTTTCTTGCTCACATTCCGTCAGCTAATAAACACATCTGCAGAGACCTGGGGTTTACATCATTTCAAGAATACAGTCTTGTAAAAAGCGTATGTACGTCAGTTTCGGGGTCATGCGACTACCCCCGTCCATGGTGATTTCTAAAGGTTTTATTCATTTTATAAATTATTCAGATCATCTGGGAGAAAGGAAACCTTATCAGTTGCCAGTATTTCAGGTACATGGGGCTGATTAATAATCAAGAAACTTAAATACTTCTTTCTAAACTCTTCCTACCTACAATACATTTTAACACCATCATTCACTTTACTAAAATTGTGATTTATGCCATGAAGTTAGTCTTATTGTTTTACATATACCTATTCTCTTATCTAAATGGGTTGTTGTTGTGCACAAAAGGTAAGCACGCCCCTAATTCTGAACCATGACAAATTAAATGGGAATAATCATGGCATGGGATGACTGACCACAGGAGCTGGGCGATACCAATGTCATCGGATAGAACAAACATTTGACAACAAATAAAGAAGATATTGGTGAGTTGTGATTGAAATTTACTGACAAAAACATCATGGTAACACTGGTACACGCAGTACGCACCAAAGACCCGGGTTCGATTCCCGACATGGTACAATGTATGAAGCCCATTTCTGGTGTCCCCCGTCGTGATGTTGCTGGAATATTGCTAAAAGCGGGGTAAAACAATACTCACGCACCAGTGTTTTAAAACATGTGACATTGATCGTTACAGGTTTGTATAGTCATTTACTTGAAAAGTGGCATTCTCAAAACAATACTTACATACCATCTAAATAATGGAAAACAAAGTATTATTATCTCAAATTGTTCACTGGATGACACAAAACATTAGTCACAAGCTGATGTTCGCCACTTCACAACTGGAATCTCTTGCCAAAGCAATAGCAATATCAACGCAGTCACGAAAAATATCACATTTCAAATTCAGAAAGGAGGTTCATCCTTGTCAGTTATTGACAATTGTACCTCTCTCATTCCATTTATCAAAACATCTGTATCCTAGATTTGCGAGATTTTGGAGACAAGGCACAATTGACTAATGAAACTGTTACCAGCTGTGCGTCAAATGTTGTTTGTTGGTTTGTTTGTTGTTAAGCAATATTCCAGCAGTATGACGGCGGCTTGTAAATAATCAAGTCTGGACCAGACCATCCAGTGACTGACATCATATGCATTGGTCTACGCAAATGGCATACAATGCCATGCATCAACCAAATAAGGGAGCCTGACCACTCGCATCTTACAGTAGGCATGACCAATTCTAACCCGGATCTTCACGGATCGCCTGAAATGCATGCACCATATGCAATAAATCGTGCTTATTATTCGACACTTCCCTATTTTGGCTTGAAACATATGTTCCCGTGGTTTTTTTTCAAAAGAACAATTGACTTGCCTTCACATGTGTTTGTGGCGAGTGGACCCGGCGGCGTAGGATACGCTCACCTTTCCGGGAACACCTGATGATATCATCACTATCTAATAGTGATTCATAAACACATGCTCATGATATAGTCGGAATCGTACAATCGACTGTGCTTTAAGCAGATATTTCTATTGGATATGGAAAGGGTTTTGTCGCTTTATTTTATTGTTATCAATATGGAAAGGGTTTTGTCACTTTTATTATTATTATGTCATGTTGTCAAAAAGTCCATGCAAATTCACTAAATGTGTTTGTTGAACTTGAATGAATGCTCATAAGTTTGTTTGATTATTTTCATGAGTGAAGGATGAATTGTCAAGCATACATCAAATATTACTAGAAATGTTCAACTCAGGCCATTGACATTTGATACGATGAACTTAATACCCATAAAGGGCATAGGTTGACAACGTGACTCGCTTCCCTGTCGTTGTTTGCTGGTTATATCCACTGACCGATCACTGTGAATGATTTCACTTACCCTAAAGACATATTACGTCATACTGCTTCCTGATTTGAGTATCATATGATAACAACATATTCACTCGCAATGGTAATACCATCAAATGTGCCTGGTTTGATTTCAATGGGTATTGTCATGTCGCCTCCTGCGGCTAGTGACTTTGGTAATAATAATTTAGAACTATGGGCTTGTTCTTGGTAAAAGTAGAACTTTTTCCAGATTACTTTATGGACGTTTTTGAATGTTAAGTTGATGTTCTGAGAAGAAACCATAATCCTTTGAATCTCAGGTATGACTTAAGCCACGAATCACTTAAAGATGGCTTTCCATCATGAGATTGTTCCGCGCCCCCGAAGGTGTTGTCCCTCATCGTGTGCGAATCAGATGCGTTCTTCATTCGTAAATTATTTCGAAGAATTTGACTGTATTCGTTTTGTTGAAATAACAGTCTATGTCGACAATGCTTTTTGCTTTGTTGTTTAACGCCGCACTCAACAATATTCCAGAGGTGTGATGGCGGTCTGTACATTATCTAGTCGGGATCAGACAATCCAGTGATTGATATCATGAGCATCTGTCCACGCAATTGGGATACGGTGACATGCATCAACCAAATTAGCGAATCTGACAACCCGATCCCGTTAGCCGCCTCTTGCGACAAGCATGGGTTGCTGAAGACCTATTCTAACCCGGATCTTCATGGGTCACGGGTCATATCGGTATTCATCAGTTAATCCATCGTGTCAATGGGTCAGTTAGTTGATATAAACCTACTGTTTGTATAAGACACCCCTTGTTATAATTTGGAATCGTGTGCTTTAAATGATAACTAAAAAATGGCTTTTACTGGCTTCAATCGGACTATTTACATAACATTACAGCAATAAGATGAAAATAAAATGTATGATTAAAGTATTCTGTTTCTGTGCGCACTTGGCCGTGTGAGACACACATAGAACATCGTGCACGTTTACCATTCATTCTTCAGCATGGTTACACATGAGTGTATATACTGTGTGAGTTTGTCTGTGAACGCTTATTATCCGTTAATTACTCGGATAATTTGCAGGCAGCCGAAGTATGCTGGATTATTGCTGAGTGATACATTGGGCAACACACGAAGATTAGGTTTTTAGGTAAATGTTACAGACGAAGAATACTGCACAAAAGTCAAAGGAATCACTGCACAATGTTAACTTTCAGTAAGTTCAACGGCCTTTGATAGCTGACAGTTTTCATGAATATATACTTTAGCTTTCGGTAGTGGCAATATCCCGAAGCATTTGTGTGCCAATCAGAGCCCAGTTTGCAAGTCCCAAGCATGGGCACAGCGCCATTGGGGCGGGAATGGTTTTGCATGTGCTACTGGTCACGTGATAAGATATCGAACGACAAACGGGCACGACAGCTGGTCGCCCCCGACCATTTAGGCCACGTGTGACGTCACAGGCAGTTGACTGTAAAATCATGTTACGTCACCGTTTTGTGACGGCTACATCGATACGGCATGACATGTTTTGAGGTCGGGTGTCCGAAACCGGCTTCGAACTGCTCACCTCCACGCAGGGAGACCATATCTTGAACCCATTTTGACGCCATTACACAGACGTGAACGTCAGCTCTGGGCACCACCTCAGCGCTGTTGGCCCTGACCATGTGCTGGCTCAGGAACTAGCGCAATTCATGGCAGCTCATGGTCCAGGCCTGACAACCCAAGACAGCCGTCATGAGGTGGCCTTCAAGGTCGGTCACCCTGAAGCCCCTCGCTCACGCCTGCACACTTCAGGAACAATCCACAGACATTGCAGGAACTTAGTGCCACGTTGGTGGAACAATGGCGCCGCATCCCAAATTCAGTGTTTACAAGCACCAGGCAGTCAATGGGGAGGCATTGTGCTGCAGTTGTAGGCACACATGGAGAGTATACGAACAACTGAACTTGAGATGTCATCAGGTGACCCTGCTTGTGATTTGCTATTTTGACTGCTACTGGTCTTGGAGAACGATGTGGACTGATCATTTATTACAATTCTCCCTTTTGACATCAACAACACTGTATCTTCTTCACTGCTTTTTCCGTCATTTTGCAAAGTGGCCAAGATAAAACGGTTGGGAAGTTTCTAGTTTGACTTTGTACAAATCCATGGACTAACAGGTGTCACATTGAACCATTGAATGCGATTTAAGTAATAGATCATGGCATTACAATTTTGGAGTCGTTTTAATGTGTCTATTTGTTTGTCACTAGAGTGATCAATTGTTTATTCGCTCAACTGCGCCAGACACAACATATCTTATCCGTTTAAATGAAAGTAAGAGATCATGACAATGATGATTATTTTTTACAAATGAATTATATTTATTGTCAGTTATTCAGACCAACATCTCATGAAACAGTTACCCCGTATGGACCCAGGTTAGAAACGTCAATGGTCATATATGTCTTACCTGAGATCATCATTCAAACTGGTCAGCAAGACTTGTCTATGACTCAAATCAGTCATGAAGTGACCCAACAAATATCTTGGCAACTCTTTAATTCTGTAGAACACCACTGTCATCCATATGCCTCCATAATTTATAAAACCTGACAAGGTCATGTGAGAAATCTCATTTATTTTACATAGTTACATAAATTTGACTAATTATCTACAAAATGAATTTAACAAAAATACACATCACTTTTCCTTCTGTATTATTCAGATAATCGTTATTTCTCAATGCTGAAAATAATATAGGAATATCAAACGATAACATATAAAAAAGAAAGGAAATATATCAATTCACAGCGATCTGTTGAGAGTTTCTTGTTCGTTTTGTTTGTGCTCTCTTTGAAAACTGCTGGGAAAAAGAAACTATACACCAATGTTTGATTGTTGCAAAAAAGAAAAAAAAGAAAAAGAAATGGTAAATCAATAGCAATGTATCTGATACAGGTATCATAATGGTGGTTTGGAACTTATGTTTGAAGTGTTTTTGAGCCTGTTTTCAGCCTGTTAACGTCATGATAATGTTTAATTTATTGATCAACTCCAATTCTCCCAAGTATATACTTTTTTCTACATTGAGTATCAGGTCTCATGACAGAATATTACTCTTCTTATATGCATTAACACTAAAATTGAATCATTTGAACAAAATATAACATCATCATATATGAAGAAACGGAGCTCAGCTCCCTCATTCTGGAACTTTCAGTGGAGAAGAAGTCTAAATTGTTTGCTAGGCATTACTTAGAAGTTGACGGATGACAAGGTAGACACAATATTATGGATAACAACTTCTTTCATACTGTGAAAAGCGATGTTTCGGTATAGATCCTTATACCGTTATAAGGAAGTTGTTTCCATAATATTGTGTCTACCTTGAGAAGAAGTCTACTGACCCAAGTACGCACCTTCACAGAATTAAAGAGCAAGGTCAAAACTAGATACAACTATTGCAAAAACTGGAAGGTAACTGGCAAACTAATCAACTACAAAATATCACATTTTGTAATAGCTATAAATAAATCAAAACTGAAAATTGAATTCAAACCTCTTGAACAAATTCTGCCGTCATCATTGATTGGAACAAGCATGTGAAAATTCTGAATATGTTGATAGTGTGAGGGAATGTGTTTTGCCCTATTACTAAATACACATGGACAAATGTTGCTTAGATTTTATACAAAACCTTACCAAGAATGATATACAAGGTTTCACCTTTCCAGTGGATTTAAGCACAAAAATTTGATCACGGTCAGAGTGTAAATATGGAAAAAACATATAGGCTGAACCCCACTACTAACTACATCTTAAGTCTCGCTACTGCTAAAAGTAGATATGAGGACATCCCATTACAGGCCATGTCACAACGACCTTTCGCAAACTTAGACCTACCGATGAAATTACTAACAAGAAGTCGACATTGGTGAGTCAGAGAGCAGTTTTATCAAGCTTTAAGGCACTAATTTCAAACTGGCGACTTTCATTCCAGACTACCCTTTGAAAACAATCATTTCAAAATTTGAAAACTGAATAAAAAACATTCTGGAAAGTGTTTTAGATGGCCAAGATTGTAAGGTAATACTTCCAACGGGCTATGCAAATTCTCTTCCGTTCAAAGTGAGACATAGACAATGATTTTTACGGAATCAGTCATACAACCCTAACTGTCGGTCGGAATACCCTGTTAACCTTTTTAGAGTTTGCATGACTAGAAAAACACATTCCAACCGTCACTTTCCCGATCTGTTAAGCCACGCTCTGATTGGTAGGATGAAAGATCGTTCTGATATGATCCATAATGGGATGTCCTCAGATCTTTGTTTATGCGGTAGCGAGACTTAAGATCCGATTTTAATGACATTGATATTTTGTTTGTAGTACCTTTGAAGCTATGGCTCAATATGAGCTATGATATGGCATTGCTGCATTTTTAGTACAAGATCACACCTTGTTAATTTCCTACATTGAACATTCAGAAAAAAGATAAGCCAGTCAAGACAATTATGTACAAAATCTGGATGTTACTAGATTTAAGTTGAAAGGCCAAAGGACACCAAAATATAAATATGCTACCAAAATCTCAATATGTTCCTGCATTTACAAGTTTACAAACCACATAAACATGAGCAAATATATGTTTACGAAAAATCTTGTACAACAAAACAAGAATTCCAAATTCAAACAAATTACAAAGATAAAGGAAAACTCATCTAAATACTAGTAACATAAAAACATATATTAAAAATTCATTGTTCAGATTCTTGGAGATGCATTATGTTTATCCTCCCCATCAGTGTTAAGCATACATGAATAAGTATACCGACTGTTGCCAACATAACATCGTCTGTGATACTATTTTGATGACACCTTATGACACTTTATCTTACAAAAGAAAAAAGTTGTCCATATTGGATCTGCATGAAAAACAGGCAAGTTAGAAGGTTTTCTATCATCATTGGGTTTTATAAAAGGTCAGATAGCAAAATGACATATAAATGTATCCTGGTATACTTAAAGCAGAGAATAGATTCAATGTTTTCATATTATTGACCATGGTTCAAGGCAGCTGCTGCAGCAACAAGAAGACCCAACATGACAAACAGCCTCTCGTCGCTGACATTCCCGGCTCTGTTTCCGCAAATTCCACCTGCAATGTACACATTATGTCTATATAGACACACAAGACTACACCGTAAACAATAACTATATTAGGAAAAGGCATGTCAAGGAGATGCTGGAGACCCTAAAATAATGTACCAAAGTGTGTTCCTCTTTGATGTGAGGATCCCGGCGGTCTGGTAGCCTAGTGGTTAAAGCGTTCGTTGCCACGCCGATGACCCGTGTTCAAATCCCGACATGGGTACAATGTGTGAAGCCCATTTCTGGTGTCCCACGCTGTGATATTGCTGGAATATTGCTAAAAGCGGCGTAAAACCATACTCAATCACTCACTAATGTGAGGATCATGTAAGATATTTGTGAAACATAAGAACCCCCATTTTTACAAAGCCATCGTAGTGCAATGACCATAATGAGTCAATACTGTAACACATGCTATGACCGTCATATCACTGCCATCGCTTTGTGAATTTGGGCCCAAAACATGACTTCACTGATGCAACTATGAAACTCTTAAATGTAGAATAGTTGTGCATGTGTCTCAAATTATATTTATGTGCAACATCTGTCATATTTCACTCAACTATTGTTGCATGTAATGATTTTTTTTACATATTGATGTCTGTTGCAGAAATTGATAAAAACTACGAACATGTTCATGTATTTGTATATTTTCCTTCAGCACTTACTCCCTCTTTGACTCTTATCCTATTTTTGCATTAGTGAATACAATTTAATGGATTGACTTCTGGTGTGTCGTTGAAACAAGAAATGTGTTTGCATAATTTGACAAACAGGCGCAGCCCTATCCCCATCATTTCCTAAACCTCCCAAACCTTTACCAATAGAAACATGTATCATCAACCATTTGGAGGTTACAAAAGCTATTTGCTGTAGAGTGTTGGCTTCCATTGTCTATTGCTAATCACCCATCAGCTCCAATTATCTGTTGGCTTCCCTTGTTAGTTTCCACCTTTTGTTGTCTAAATACATTTGTTGTTCTTACATGTACATTTTGTTTGTTTGTTTGTTTATTTGTTGTTTAACGACGCACTCAGCAATATTACAGATATATGACAGCGGTCTGTAAATAATCAGGTCTGGACCAGACAATCCAGTGCAGCGAGCCTGACCACCTGATCCCGTTAGTCGCCTTTTACGGCAAGAATAGTCACCTTTTACGGCAAGCATGGGTTGCTGAAGACCTATTCCACCCCGGAATCTTTACGGGGTTATAGGATGGTACGCTTCATTATTGTGGTTGTTAATTTATAATGGATCGTAATAGTGCATGCTTACAAACTTATTAAATATGTCATACGCAAAATGTTTCTTGTTCTTTGTTCAACTTTTAGGACACATCAATTGGGACTGATCAATACTGATTTTCTTTACTAAGTTTGGTAAACAAAGTACCTGTCATTAGCGACTCAAGGGCAGGCAACTCTATATTATCGCAATATGGCTATGCTGTGGAGTGATACGTGTGGATTATGGGGTTTACATCAATTCCTGTTTTAGATAATCAGTATGCATACAACCTAGGTTGGGTCAAGGGAAATCGTCTAAACAAATGGGGTTCTTTTCAAATCAATTTCGAATGGAGGTGGGGGTAATTCCACTTCAAAAACATTCCAGAAACTATCATAAAACAGTTAATGTGTACACTTACTAGAAGCCGTGACATACCGCAATGAGTCCACGCGTGGAAATATTGTCTTTAGATTTGCATACGTAAATAGCCAACAGGGTGTGTGGATTACGAGATTTACTGATACTGTGATAATATAGAACCCACGATAATATAGAGTCATACTATATATATGCACTCTGCCTCGTAGCATTCTTTCACCTGATGAAGGAGTAACCATATACTCAGAAACGTTGTGTTCCTCATAATAAAGAAGTTCACATCAATAAATTCTCTTCCTTATGTGTATCACTTCTAAATGCCTTTTAAAGACTTGATATTTATCCTCTTTCCATCTTTGATCCCAAGTGTTATCAGCACTTCTGGTTTAATTACACCACTTTCGGTTTGGAAGTGCAATAAAATCAGATCTTTTCACACACTATCATCTCATCACAGTCAATTAGTGGGTCAGTTATTTGATCAGTCATGATAAGAATAATACATCAAGCATTCTCTACATAGCTCCAGTATGTACCTGTTAATCACTTGCCGTACAATCAGCATTGGTTATTTATCAGTTTGTTGTCATTAAATAAACAATTACATACAGTTAAGTTTATATCCAATTGTCTCAAAAAGAACAAAGTTATTTATGACGTCGGGACAATACTTAATTATTACATCTAAGTCTAAATCTTTTAATGAATTTGCATAACTATATTTTAACCAAAGAATAGACTTGCTGGTTTCTTATGAAGAGATTAGTAAAATCTAAATATTTTTTACATTTGTATACTTATCCTGCATTACTCGGTATTGCATTTACTGCTGTCTTTGACAGAGAGACGAACTGTGTGAGTGAGTGAGTGAGTGTGTGAGTTGGGTTTAACGCCGCTTTTAACAGTATTCCAGTTACATCATGGCGTGTCAGCTTAATGTGGGAGGAAAGCCCGAAATGATGCAGTTCTCAGACGTTTACCACATCGGTGAAACCCACGAGCATGGGTATGGTGCTGACAAACCTAGAAACATAATCGGGGCGAACCAGGATTCGAACCCACAATCATAGGTTTCTGGCGTGCCCAAGGGACGCAACTCTGCACAGCGAATCGCGGCGCCTTAGACGACTGGGCCACCCGTGCCCCCAAGAACTGTGTGAGATCCAGCTGCTGAAGAAAGTTGTTTCCATCTGTCCAGGAAGCAGCGCCCCCTCCCATACAGTCGGCACGTGACATGGAAGTCACGTCAAAACACGTACTGCTTTAACCTCGTGGGTTGCAGGGGAAACCTCGTGGGGAAGCAGAGGAGCGCAGGGTGGGGGGGGGGGGGACACTTGGACTTCGTAATGCAGGATAAGTATACAAATGTAAAAAATATTTAGATTTTACTAACCTCTTTAGAAGAAACCAACTTATCCTGCATTACTCTGTATTGCATCTTTATCAGACGGCACGGCCGGTGGGCATACCTTCAGATGTTAGCCAAAAGAAACCCTTGACAAGGTCCGGTAAAACCGCACCGCATGTACAATAGATTACCGGAACACCAGCAGCCACAGGGAGATAGTATTCCGGCTGACCTCCGACTGCAACGAGGGGGAGACCGGCAGGAAAAGGCGTTTCCTAGACTTGCGGCACGCTTTAGACCATCATAGGAAAACTTTCAGGGCCCTAACAGTGCATAATAAAAGCACCTCCACATCCTCGGCACCCACAACCGACAAAGGGGAGGTATGGTGAATGATCGATCAGTCTGTCCAGGGAGTTGATTCTTTGCGATGAAGTCCCAGCACAGCCCAAGGTGAGCGGCGCCATGAGTCCCGGGTTCACTGGACACGAAAGGGCGAGTTACGTTTGGAGACGACCCTCGAGAGGAGCGGCGAGGTTTGTAGTTGCCTTTGGAGAACTTGGCCGCTGATTGGTGCGTGACATGCTCCAAGGCTCTAAGAGCCATTTCATCCCTCGCAAAGCTGGAGACCCGGGCGTGTGTAGCGGAAATGGCACCATTAAAAAGGATAGGACCCGACCAAGGTTGTTGTAGTAGGGAACGATTGAATTCGGAATCCCATTCCGTGAAGGTCAAGTAACCCAACCGTCGTGTAGCGGTGATCTCCGCAAGAGCGGCTCCCAGGTGATTTCGCAAATGGTCGACCTGGCGAAGTTGGAAGTTCATAACAGTGCGTAGATGGTCGATCCTATTAGGATTGGACTCCGAGAGATCTTGCTCAATGGTTCTGGCAGAGGAGGTGAGTGTAAACAGTGGTTTTACTGTACGACCTAGTTCCGTTTCCAAAAAGGCGGATTGGGATGACCCGGTCATACGATGTAGGTCCTCATCCAGGATGTGCGCACAGTCATCCACATTGAAGGAGAGGACAGGGAAATCATCATGCCTGAAATGAGGAGCCTTGAACGACGGCGTGAGGGACAATCTAGCAAAATCCCTTGTCCAATGCCGTAACAAGCTCTGTCAGCACTGGGTGGGGGGGTAGCGAAGTTGGGTTAAACCAAATCGTAGATTTTTTGTCAACATCTGGGCTCGGGGAGGGAGCGACTGTGTCAAACGGTCTGCTAGCCAATCAGCAACCTGTGATGGGCCCAAGTGTGTATCAATTTCAGGAGAGGGAGGATCATAATCAGGTCGAAAAGATCCTTCCGATGAGGCCGAACGAGATGAAGCAGCTGCCGTCTATGTATGGGAGAAAGACTACGAGACAACAATGGGATCGAGAGGACTTGGACGAGTGTTGAGAGGCAGTCAGAGGCGACGAGGTGTACAACGATTGAGATAGATGAGCATCTGAGGTAGAGGTGGCCGTAGGAATCGGAGTGTCTGTAGTCGGGGCCATCAGTGGCGCCAGGTTCGCAGGAGGCACCGTTGGCGCCGCAGATGTGGGAGTAGCTAGCGCAAATAAGGACTTCATCCAAGATGGATTCATACACGATGATGGGAGGGTGTAGGAGACCGTGAACGGTATTTTGTCGTGCCGTGGGAGGCATGTTGGGGTGTCGACGCACACGTTAAGTGAAACGCTTCCGAGACACTCGTAGGTAGGCTGTGAAGGAAACTGGTGACAGGGGACTACAGTATCTGCACTGCTCTGTGAGGTACACGGGGTTGTACGGGGGCTGGCTGAAAAGTTCTAAGCCTAACTGTGAAAGACCCATACCAAGTCGATGGTTGTCATTTATTTCTCCACATAGTCCCCTACCAGGTTTACACACTTTTGCCAGCAATGCTGCAAGGCCTCGATGCCGGTCCTAAAAAAGTCATTCACAGCGGAAATGACGTCATCATTACTAGGAAAATGGCGACTAGCTAGTTCCTTTTTCATTTTGGGAAACAGGTGGAAGTCTGACGGGGCCAAATCGAGTGAATAAGGGGGATGGTCAACGAGTTCGAAGCCACAATCATGGATCACTGACATGGCAACCACCGATTTGTGAACAGGAGAATTGTCTTGGTGGAACAGGACTCCTTTAGTAAGCATTCCCCGACACTTAGCTTTGATAGCTTCACGCAGCTGTCTCAGTAGGTCAGCATAATATCTTCCATTGATAGTCTGGCCTTTTTCAAGATAGTCAATCAGCAGAATACCCTTGGAATCCCAAAAGACTGAAGCCATCACCTTTCCAGCAGAAGGAACCGACTTGGCTTTTGGGGGGGCTGGTGATTCCGGATGCTTCCATTATTTAGACTCAATTTTGGTTTCTGGTTGAAAGTGATGAATCCAGGTCTCATCCATGGTTACAAATCGTGCCAAAAAATCATCGGGATCTGCTTCAAAACGGCATAAATTGTCATGAGACATCAGGAATCTGACACGTTTCTGATCCATTGTCAAGAGCTTTGGCACCCATCTTGCAGAAACTTTTGTCATTCCCAACTCGTTGGTGATGTGCTCAACCCTCTCATGAGTATGCCCACAACACTGGCAATTTGTCAAGTGGTCAATCGTCGATCAGCCATCACCATGTCATGCACCCGCGTAATGGTTGCTGTTGAAGGCTTTCCTAGACGCGGGTCATCGTCAAGGCTCTCTCTGCCACGCTTGAATTCTGCAGCCCACTTCTTGACAGTAGAAAAGGAAGGTGCATCATCCCCTAAAGTGGAGACCATGTCAGCATGTATCTGTGTTGGAGTTAGCCCTTTCAGTTGCAGGTACTTGATGACTGCCCGAAAGCCAGTTTTGTCCACTTCTGGTGATTTCAATGGGTAGGTTCACAAGATGGTCTGGTACAAAGACAATAATAACACTACAGTTGCAGTTCTTGTACTTGTTGGTGGCAAAGGTTTGTTTCAATCCGATTGAGATATCCCACTTAGGTTTAGAACTTTTCAGCCAGCCCTCGTACAGTCCAGGCAGCAGGGATGGGGATCCCGTCCAGATTTATTCCCGCGGCAGTTAGTGCAGCGAGGCATACTGGAATTTAAGCAAAAGCATAACGATGTGCTAACACACAAAGTGAAGGATAATGTAACTCAAGATAACTTTTTCTGTTTCAAAGATTATACGAGCAAACAATTACGCTTCAAACACGCCAAATACAAACAATTTAATTTAATGTAAAACTCCACACAGAGCGAATTCAAAACAAAACACGAAAATTCGTGGACACGTAGTGAATCACAAAGGGGCGGGAAAAAATGGCGGGAAAACCAAAATGGCGGGAAACAACAATACGCTTGTAAATACCTTGACGAGAGCCACAAACATGAGCGAGAAACGTTACCAATTAACAATAGTACAAAGGTAACAAACCATATACAATAAATAAAACAGCAGACTTTGTCGTAGTAAACAACACAAAATAAGTATCATATAAAGCTTTAATATTTCCACGTGGGATAGAGATACATCCGTTCCATGTGGCTGACAAAGCAGTTATGTGTTTTGACGTGACGTCGTGACTTCCCGGTCACGTGCCGACTGTGTCGGAGGGGGACCTGCTTCCTGGACAGATGGAAACAACTTTCTTCAGCAGCTGGACCTCACACAGTTTGTCGCTCTGTCAAAGACAGCAGTAAATGCAATACGGAGTAATGCAGGATATGTTAAAAAACATACTGATTTGATGAGTCTGTAACTACATATTGTCTTTAATGAAAAGAACAATAGAAACTACGTAAGAAATGGGTTTAGGGTTAGTCGTACAAGCTCGAATACAGATATCACAAGTGTACATTACGGTGCTGATGCCACCTGTCAATTGATGCCGTTTTGCCATGTGCCCATAATACTTGCTGTACACAAAAGAGGAACACAAACACTAGAGCCCCATGTCAACAAACTGACACCCAGAAGATAATGTCCTACCTGTTGCTGTCTTCCATATTCTTTGGTTGTCGTTGATTTCACATGATACGCAAGCATCTTCTTCCAATGTATCCCCCTCCATCACACACTTTCCTTTGTGAGTGCAGTATCCATCCTAGATAATACATAGTACATACAATGTAGGAAGCCGATTTAACACTGCAGCATGTAATTTTCTGATACTTACTAATATATTACTGCCACTTGCAAATTCAGAATAACGTAGACTAATACACCGTGACTTTGATTTCATACACATCTCTGATGAATGAAAAAGCAAATAAGAGAAAGTTAACAATAATTGTGGTATTTGGTGTTGTTGGTTTAGCATACTTATGTCCTATACATGAACTAGTCATACAGATAACTTTGAGGTGTCAATCTTGTAAACATTTACTTAATCATGTGATCAATATTTATTCATGGTAGGAATGTCAGTTTTAGAAGAGAGTTCTAACCCGCAAACTCCAGATCATAGTGTCATTGTTGACAGTGACGCATGTCGAGTCATACACCAGGACGGTCAGTTCGTTACTGTAGAACGTTCCAATGTTAGACACAGAAATGTTGTAGCTGGTAGTAACATCATCCGCAAGAGCATCTGGTAGGTAACAAGTCACTTCACTTATACTCTCTGTGACAGCCTTGGATGTTGTGACCGATGAAATTGCCATCTGTCCATCCTGTTTCACCTAGGTTCAACACAAATCAGTAACTCAAGTGCGTCATCAGCAGCCAAATTCTAAAATGTCAGGCATAAGTAGAAGTAGGCATCACGATGGGCGCCAAAATTGTCATATCAGTGTCAAAAATAATGTCCTCATGCAATTCCTTATTTTGACTTGTATCATGTGTTTCCATGTTTTTTCAGGTTAACAATTGACTTACCAATGCATGTGTTTGTGATGGGTGCAACCGGCAGGGAAGGATACACTCACCTATTCACAAAACACCTGGTATCATCACTATTTGATAGTGATTCATAAACACATGATATAGTCGGAATCATACAATCAACGCTTTTTTTCCCCAGATATTTCTTTTGAATATGGAAATGGTTTTGTCTCTTTTATTATACCACATAAGCTCATAACACATATGAGCCACCATTTTACAAGCATAAGTTGCTGGGAATCTATTCTAACCCAAAATTCTATTGTCACAGAATCTGACAATTATATGTTGACCTGAGAATTATCCTGAGAATTATCCTGACAAAGATCTCACCTTAGATGGTAGATGCCAATACATGTAGTTAAGAAATAAATAAATTCAAGAAATAGTGAGACTGAACAGTAGCTCACTTCAATGTGTTGTCAAGACAACCATAAAACAAAAGTTGCTTGTTGGCATTAAATTGGTATTCAAATATTTTCAGCATATATTCTGTGGAATAAAAACAACACTAACAAGAGTCAAAGAGTCAACATTCTGCTCCCTCAGCCTGGTAATTTCAGGGGAGAAGAAGTTTTACTTAGCTAAGTATGCATTTTGAAAGAAGTGCAAAGTATGGTCAAATCTAAGTTAAAATGAAAAAATGTTGCAAAAAATGGAACATATGGAACACCACTACTCGACACTACAACATGCATGGCCAATTAATTTCAACTTCATCAGTACAGCAGTTTAAGAGGAGAAAATGTTTATAGAGCCATGAATTTATGTTGAGATAATTTTGTTTTATACTTCCTAGTGCCATAGTCACACCCAGGTTCTTGACAAGCCACAAACAAGTGTGTTGAGTCAGACGACATCCCCATGTCACATTCATTTATGGGTATTTACCACACATGCTTGTCGCTTTTTTCCCCAAAACACCCCATTGTTACACATTACAACCTTTACACAGTCAAAACAAATTAAAAACTTAACATAAAACAAAATAATCTTGTTGCATTTGATTCATACAATACAACCAAACTGTTGTGCCAAAAGTCCTTGGCATAAGTTTTATTTTAATCTTTGGCAGTCTTGAATATTTAAAAGTGAGAACAAAAAAGTGATAAACTAAAATAATAATACTATCCAGTAACAACTGGAGCTGTCAAAAAGTAAACACTTCCTGACTTCTTTACTTTTTTCCCCATGTCCATTTACACTAGTGGCTTGCTGACTCGGCCGGATCAAGTCACTTTTGGCTCCCATATGGCTGATGACTTGACTCTTAGTTTAGCTAGTGTACTTGGTTTCTACTGCTGGGCTCCATTAGGGCCAGGTGAAGGTCGATGATGCTCTGAATGGGTACCTGGAATCAGCATCGCCTCATAGGAATGTGTTTCCTCTGAATCTTTGCTTATGGTGTGTTCAAAGGTGAGAACCAAGTCTTATTTTCTGCAGTCTCTTCACACATCCTCGCCAGAGAGAGGTGTCCTTTCCTCTATCACTATGCCGTGTTGTATAGGAGATTTGGTTTTGTGTACACCTTGTCACCTGTCTTCAGGGTCTGATGTTCTGAATGAGCTGTCTTATAATATTTAGCCTTTTTATTTTTCTCTGTTGTTTGTCTGTTCCTGCGCAACAGCTGTATCTGGTGGCATATCTTGTGCCACTAAAACATTTGTGTTGGAGTGTTTCTACGCTCCAGCAAGCCCTTCATCAGTTTTGTTTCATGTATTTTTTTCTCTGACGCAGAATTCTGCTTTGCTTGTTCCTTGAGCATGATACAAAGAGCGTGATACATGCCTGAAGTCATATTCAGAGCCAAATTTCTCAAATTCCATGGCCATAGACTGTGCTCATTGTCTGTCAAAAACTTCCATGGGATCCCATGGCACACAAAATGTATCTTTGTAACTGATATGACATTTTCCGACCTTGTATCTTGTGCAAGCCAGTTCCCTCTGTGTTTAAATAAGTCATGTCATACCAGTGGCGATGGCGCGTTTGGGAATATTTCTTAAGGCTTTTGGGTATGACAACTTTGTTTCCCTTGTATAGATCTGCATTGTGCATGGAGAGCAACTCTCGAAAAGCCAAGTAGTGGTGTACTTGAAACGTGCTTGAAGGCCAGCCATGTGTTACAAAATTCCCTTGGGAAGACATAACTTGATCAGATCTCGTTTCGATTAGTATCTTCTTCACTGTGGATGGAAGCATGTCTGGTGCTTCAATCTCAATACTTCTGAATGAATTGTGATATTCACTCTCATACACTTGATCCTGTTGTTCCAGCTGATGATTGGCTTCCAGAGGGACTCTTGAAAGGGCGTCTGCCAAGTACATGTACTTTCCTTTCTTGTATGCTGGAGGCTGGAGCTGCAGCATCATCCTCTGCAGACGTTCCTATGCTTTGTTTAAAGGTTTGCAAAGTGTTCACCACATACACTGACAATTTAAGGAGAAAGTAAACCCCATTGTGTTGTTACACAATATATGAACAGTTCAGACTCCTAATCATTAGGTGGTTTAAAAAACTTTTTTTTAAATGTCAAAATTGTATTTTATTTTCAGTATAAACAAAACATGTTGTTTAATCTTTTCTTTTCTTTTTTGAACATTGATATAAAAGCGACTGACAATTTCCATAATCATGATATATCTAAAAGATCAAAACAAGAGAATATTAGGTTTCGATTATATGTCAAAAACAGTAAGTTAATATTTAACGTCACATTGAAAATATATGTAACGCATATAAATGTCAGACAAGAGCAGAGTTTATTTAACGATTATGACTTCAACATATCATAACAATAAATACAAGCAGTGAAATTATTTCCACAATAAAGAGAAATGTATGCTAAAAGCTGAAACCATCATACGATTCTGACTATATGCTGAGCATGTGTTCATGAATCACAATAAAATAGTGATCCACGTGTTTGTGATGATTTCATATAACAGTTTCCAATTTTTGGAATATGCTTCAACAACATCTATAATCATCTTCAAGTTGTGATCCCAATTGGTAGCACACTGCTCACGATATTTTGGTCCATTTCTGAATAACTGCCGAAGGTTGGTGTTGCCAACAGAGAAGTCGCACATGAATATATGACCAACATGTTGGTAGCAGTATGATGAATCTTGGCAGCCTCCATTAATGGGATTTAAATCATGAGCTGCCAAGTCCACATACGTGATGGTGAGGTGGGGTTTAACGTCACATTCAAGATTGTTGCAGTTATATTTTGCGTGCGTGCGTGTGCATGCACTAGTTTGAACTAATGCCAATTTCATAGTGTTAGCCCACTGACATACCATGCCACAGTTTAACATGATTACTCCATTCAGATACAGTACACTGACTCTGGGCCGACCAGTCGTTGTTTTAGCCCTTTAATACCAAGCACCAGGCAGTGTAACAACAAGTACCATCTTTTAACATCTTTTGGTATGACACGGTCTGGGATTAAACCCACAAGCTTCTTGTTTCTGGTACGGCCAAACGTTTCAAAGCAATTTTAAGACCTATCCTCTCTGTGGGCTCTAACTGTTTGTTTAACCATCAATCAGCAAACGTTGCAGAAGTTGTTTGATTTCTTTCAATGAGCATAGTCTTGTGCTTACTGTGTGCAATCCTTGTGACCAAGGTTGCATCACCATCTTCACAGAACTATAAATTCATAACATGTCAGGCCATAAGCTCACTAGGACCTTCGGTCTTCGTGAGCAAAAATGTCCAATCTAAATGAGGCAACTGTACCATGCTTTTCTTTATTTGACATCTGGAGGATTCTTCCCCACTGAAGATGTCACCCAGTACTGCAGTTTCGATGCATTTTCCTGTAGCTAGGTCACAGCGACCTCCGTCTCCAACGTCAAATAGAGTAGGGGGGTTGGACAGTTCGACAGAGCAATCTCCACCTCCGAAACCTGGGTTACAATGGCACTGTCCTGGAATTAGGAAAATGTGTATGAAGCCAAAGTACAAGGATTACAATGGTAATGTCATGGCTGCATTCACCCACCAGAAGTCAGTCACATGCAAAAAATAAATTAATTGGAAGTAAATTAATAGCTACAGACTAACACACATATATAATTGCCAATATGCAATAACAACTCCAGGTATCCTACATGAACATTCTAATTTCCTGTAAGGGATGTGTTACATACATGATATGTCAATATATGAAATCAAACATGAACATTGATAACAGAAAGGTGACAGTCTTAGCCACAGTCAGCAATATCCCAGGTATATTACGGCAGCCTGTAAATAAGTATGAGCTGAATTTCTTTTCAGTCAGCTATCATGCCAAACATGGCAGTGCTAGAAATGGGCACTAGTCCTGTAGTCCTTGCCAAACTGCCCAATAGTTAAGGTATCATAAGGACAAGTAGAAATTTGCCATTTTTAAGGGTTTTGCTATATGTTATCATCATAAGGACTAGTGGACTAAATATGTTAGTTTCTACCCCAGCATGGGATACTGTGGATGTTTCTTTCCTGGATCCCCACATGGCAACCAATAGACAAGCTTGTAACTGAAACTGAAGATTGTTATGGGTGACATTTACTTTATCAACCTGTGCGTGGTTAGAGGTCCATGACTCAGGTTTTAGCTATATGCACCCTTACCCTCTTTACAGACACCTCTTTTGCTGCAATCTTGAGTGCATGTCTCTTCCGTAATCTTTTCAAAAACTGATGGTTTACCAGGCTCAGACATGTTCAAAATGGGATTCACCAAAGCCTCCCGAAAGCACTTCGCATAGACGCTTTCCACAGCCATTGTGGCAAAAGCATCAGTGCCACTCAGCTGCAAAGAAAAAGATTTTTTCCTTCTTTTTTGTTTGTGAAAAGAAGTGTATTCACATGTGCAAATTTTACAAAATATAAAACCTTATTTTCATGTTTATAAAATGTAAGCTTCTTCACAACAGAACAATTAAGAACCAGTAGAAAACAAGCATGAAGACCCGTATCCCCTGCCAATATGACATGTCGGGTCTAAGTCAAAGACGTTGCCATGGAAACCCAAAAAATAAATTTGTCAAAATCCAAAACTATCAAAAGGCACCAGTTCACCCCTAGACCTATCTATGTGACACTGCACTTGCATCCTTGTCATTGCATGTGTACAATCTATGAGTAATCAGTGAGTGAGTAGATGTAGCTTAAAGCCGCATCAGCATATTCCAGCTATTCACAGCTGGAAAAACAAAATCAGTTTCCTATAGAGTAGGACATTACATAAAAATGATGACAAAGATGCCTAAAACTTTGTTCCATAATCACAGGATATTTTCTACAGTTGTATACTTACCCTCAATTACTCCTTAATGCATATTACTGTTTGTTCTTGACAGAGAAAATAGCTGTGTGAAGATCTTTGCTTGAAGAAGTTGTTCCAACTAGCTGAGAGGCTAACCCTATTACACAGCTCCCACGTGACCAGGGGAAGTGACGTCACGGATCCTCACATTACTCTGGAGTCTGGAAGGCATTGGGTGTGTGTGTGTGTGTGTGTGTGTGTGTGTGTGTGTGTGTGTGTGTGTGTGTGTGTGTGTGTGTGTGTGTAGCTCTGCGACGGGTGGGTCTCTCTAAACGCAGTAATGCAGGATAAGTATACAAATATAAAAAATATCTAGAATTTTACTAGATTTTTTACTTATCCTGCATTACTCCTTGATGCATCTTCAGCTGACGGAATCGGTGGAGGGCATACCTTCAGATTTGGACTTTCATCTCAGAACTGTTTCCCTCAGCCAATCATTGGCTGTGTGGTCCGCAGCAAATAACCAAACCGTAGATGGGAACCAAGAGACAGGTCTGCAGGGTGTCAAGGTACAATGCAGCCATAGACGATAACATTACTCAAGTTAAAGTTGTAGACTGACTGCCGTATGCGTGGAGCATGAACCTTCTACCCCAGGGCACTTAAGCCAGGGAAGGTCGAGAGGCTGGCTCTGGACTGGATGCGAGGTCAATGGTGTCTGGTAGTGGTTACCTGTTGGGGCACTACTAACAGACCAAAACTGTGTATGCCTTGCACATCCTCCAAAGCAACATCTTGTAGGTAGTGACTGGCGAAGACTGTTCCATCGACAGAAACACCCCTCCATAATGGAACGTAGGGACCTGTTAGTGTCCATGGTGGAGGCGACCACCCATATCTCATGTGGGTTGTTGGAGCTTGAGGGCTCCAATCCCGCGGCTTCGTAGGCCTAGAGAATGATGGCTCGCAGCCAGGGGGCGATTGTGTTGCAGGTGACTTCCTCTCGTGAGGTCACTGATACTGGTACAAAGAGGTATTGTCGTTGTCTGTGGCATTTCTTTGACTGATGGATGTAACAACGTAACGCCCTCATTGGGCACAGGAGCTCTTGTTCGTCTTCCGCACCCCATCTTCCCGAGGCAAAGGAGTTAACTGACTATAAAAGTCCAGTTTCCACCCTTGCCGAACAAGGCTGGAATTACTCAGCTCGATCGAAGCGCCACCAGTGGCTATTACCAATTATGTCCCTTCTAAGCCTCTCCTATTGACCAATCCTATTCCGACTCTCGTATCACTTGCGTTTGTTTCAAACAAACTGGTGGCGCCCAGTCAGGACGATCTCATTGATAATCAAGATCTATATTGTGATAAAAGGATTCTACATCACGCAATGCATCAAATCACGTGAGCACCTTGATTAAACACATGAAAGGATTTGGAAAATATCTGCTGACAACAAATAGGCGATGTACATGCTTTGCAAATCCTGCAATCAGTTGAAATCTGCACGACAGTTTACGAACCGGATTTTGATTTGAGTGCGTGATTTTGATTGGACTATGCATAGACTCATTAGTCCAGACAAAACGTAACTCCATAATACCAGCCTAGTTCGGCAAGGGGGGAAAGTGGACTTTTAAAGTCAGTTAACTCCCTTGCCTAGGGAAGATGTCCGCGCCCATAACTGATGATAGGGGAGGGATGAGGAATGATCTATATTGGGTTGTCCTGGCAGCTGGTTCTTGGCAATAAAGTCCCAGCACAGTCCGAGATAAACAGCCTCGTGCGCACCATGTTAAAAGCAGACGCGCGTGACGTTCAGCTCTTTTTCATCAGATGGTAGAACTATGCCGTGTCGAGCAACGTGAGAATAATGTTCAGATCCCAAGCTGGTGGACAAAATTTCGCCTTCTGGTCTGCCGGCCTGAATGAGCGGAGCAGAGCCTGTAGTTCTGGGATTTTCGACATGTGCCGATCTTCTGGAACTGCCAGGACAGAGTTGAGTGCAACAAGGTAGGCCATTATGGAACTACCCTTGAGTCGACGCTTGTAGTGAAGAAAGAGCAGGAACTCAGTCAGGAATGAGGCCATGCAGTGGTGGGGCCTTGCTGTTTCCCCCTGCAAAGCTCTCAAAGGATAGCCACTTGTTGACATATAGGCTCCTGTTGGTCGGGCAATGAGCCATTGTGATGGCCTTCGCTGCGCTGGCCGAGTAACCGTTCTGTAGAGCTCTCTGTAGATGGCTGCCTGTGTGGATGAATCAGCAGGTTTGGCCAGTCTGGGAGTGGCAGAGGGTCTCTCTCGGCTAATTCTTTGAGGTCAATGAACCAGGCAATCGCCGGCCACCAGGGCGCGACCAAAGTCAGATGAAGTCTCTGCACTGATCTGATCTTCTGGATGACCGTGGGAAGGAGTACAGGTTGCGGAAAAGCGTACACTTTTAGTCCTTCCCAGGGAACACTGAAGGCATTGACCGCCCAGGCCAGGGGATCCGGTCCCGGTGATATTATTGTAGGTATGATTCTGTCTGGTGGTGACTGTGGTCTCGACAAACAAGAGCAAAGGCGACTTTGTCTGGCTGTAACAGACCCGAATGTGTTGGAAATGGAAATGGATTCCCAGACGATCCACCGGGTGGAAGAAACTGAACGTCTGTTGAAGTAGCAAGGAAGAGTGAGTCATTCCTTAGTTTCGAAGAGACAAGACGACGGTTATGTTGTATTTGAGATGGAGAGCCGGGTGTGTCTGAGGGCCTGCTTCCAATGAGTGAGGCCAGGATAAGGGCCTCCAGTTTTAGGTTGTGGATGTGCTCCAGGCACTGATCGGGGGACCTCAGGTGGGAGGACCACCCATTGGTAATGGACTCTCATGAAGAAGGGGAGGTATTTCCAGTTGTCAGGATGGATTGGGACATGCAGATATTCGTCCTGAATGTCCAGGCTGATGAGCACATCCTGTGCCTGGATCTGGGATCACAGGAGCCTGAGCATGGTCATCTTGAAATAAGGCAGTGTTTGTTGAAAGCGGCATGTTGTGTATCATCCTGTGTTTGTCCCAGGCCTTCTTGGCGACAAGGAAGATGGGTGAGTAGAAGCCCGGTGTTAAGGCTGGGGTGTGTTCAACCTCTATGGCCTCCTTGGCCAGCAGAGACTAGATGTTCTGGAGTAGTAGCTGCTGTTGAGTACCAGGGTAGCCTCAGCTTGTACCCCTGCCGGATGACGTTGGTGACGTATGAGTCCCCAAGGATCTCCCAATTTTTCCAGATCGACCCAGTCTCCCACCTTGTGGAGAGTCGGTCCCAGTCGTGTGTGTCCAGCAATTCATTGGAGTCCTTGCAGTCACCACTCCCTTCCTTTGAGTGGCCGTGGCGGTACTGGTACGAACCTGAAATTTGACTTTGCCTCTGTCTTTATCCAGAAAAGTTGAGGCTGGCTGTGATACCAAAGATAGGGCCTTGAGGGCCTAGACGGTTGTAAGGTGGTCTATCTGATGTGGATTATCCTCCGACAGGTCCTGGAGGTCGACACCATAAGTGAGAGTGGCTTTAGAGAGCTATGAAGCTCTGTTTCCTCATGAGGTGATATTTGTTTTATTTCTTGGTTTACGGATGCGCCGCTCTTTTAAAGCCCAAATGTTAAAAAAAAATGAAAAAATGAAAATTACCCTTTTTTTTATTACCTATTCATCGAACATGTCAAACAGCAAAATGAAGACCTTTCAAGCAAATCTTTAAATATATTATACAAAGTAATAAAATCAACAAAAATATATCTAAAAGTTGTCAAACTAACATCTAAGTTAATATTTCCATTTTTTCATGCGATTGCGCATAATGTAAGTCAAATGACATCTTGGCTTTCGTCGCCTCGAAAAATATATGCCAAAATATATGCATAAGAAATCTTTGTCACAGCTCGTAACCTACCACTATGCATCAAAGAAGTTCCATATTTTTAATATAGATCGCGATTTCATGCTTATAACGTTCAGAATAACATGATTTAACCGTAAACCTTTTGTCAAAGTCTGAAATGATCACACACGAGGACAGTACAATTGCTGTAATTTGACTGGCTGCCTTAGGTCACGTGCTTCAATTTGACAAATCACGAACCTTGTAGCAGATTATGTTGGTAAACAATATAATTTTTTTTAATGTATATTTACATGGCAGCCTTCGATGTTATCCATACGAAGCTTTGAAAACAGAGGTATTTCCTCATGTTAGTAAGCAGACAGCCACTATCATCGGGCAATGGGTGATGACAGATGTTATTTGTAATTCTTTTTAAAATAATGTTCCAACTACGTAAACAAATGAAAATAAAAAAGAAATAGGTCAGTTGATATTAAGACATCTTATATTTGCCGAAAATTGTTAAATTTTCGCTTCACTGGTCCTTAATCTGGACGTTATGAATGATTTAGCTTACATTATTTTTATTTAAAACAAATTTTATTAAGTTTTCAATGGATTATTTGAATAATGTAATACACATAACTTTCATATTTATAAACAATAGGATTAATTAGACCTTTCAAATAGTGTATAGCCAAACATGTAGTAGCAAAGATGTTTTACAAGCCGATAATTTCCTTGATAAATGTTGGCTTCATGTATCACACAAGAGTCTTTGGGAACTTGGTGTCACAGCAACTATCGTCTGGATGGCTAGTGTTGAAAGAATTAAACGTCGCCCATGCTGCCAAAATGGCAGTGTCTTTCATGCATTTCCACCAATGACATGAATATTGCTATATTTCCCTTTGTGCACAAGCTGAGTGGCAGGGATATGATAAAATTTCTTGAAAAATTGAGTTGTTTTAATTTTGTTAGTCTAGAATATTTTTTTTATACCTACCTAACTTTTTAAGGACAAAATTCAAGTTAAAGAAATCTCTGAGGCTTTTTTTAAAAATTGGCCTACCACACTTTTGAAATGAGTTTGAAATCCATAAACCAAGAAATAAAAAAAAGGTTGCCTAAGCTAGTGTGTTGTCAGAAACTTGTACAGAGGTGGGACGGTTGGACCCGGTGTAAGCTGCCAAAATCTACCCCCCTTCAGAGAATACCCAGGTAGATTCTGGGAGCTCGCAAGCTCTGATGTTCATACAGTTTGGCCCTCACTCTATGAAGGTTCATACTCCAATGAACTCACAAAAAGTGAAGGTCAATTCTTAAAAGAGTCAATTTTTCCCTTCATGTCTAGCAATATTCTACTAGCTCCAGCCTTTGGTGTTTACATTTCACAACTTTTGAGATACACCCGAGCATGCTCTTTCTACCAAGATTTCAAAGAGCGCCATATGACTCTTGCACAAATATGGTTTGAGCAAGGTTAAAACATTCGATGTCCCAGTTAAGCTTTCAAGAAGTTGGAGGACATTTCCAAATATGTCACGTCAGTGATTAAAATGATGTCTGATGTAATTCCCTATTTCCCATATGTTCCCGTGTTTTTCAGGTGCACAATTGACTTTCCATTTGTTTGTGACAGGTGCCAATGGTGGGCAGGATACGCTCATCTTTTCGCGAACACCTGGTATCATTACTATTTGATAGTGATTCATAAACACATGCTCATACAGTCGGAATCGGATAATCAACTGCTTTAGACAGAGATTTCTATTGGATATGGAAAGGGTTTTGTCGACATATTTATTTTGATCTTGATATCTGCCAGATTCGTTGATTTAAGAACGGTAGTAGCTTGTTTATGACTTTTGCATTCCACAAGAAGAGTGCAAAACTTTAGTTTTGTTACATCAGAGACATTCCCAGATTACCTTTTTATTGCTTTTTCTAGAAGAAATGTTGAATAAGATGTTAATTTGCATTCTTCAGTTGCCTCATGCACAATGTACTTGGGCCAAGTGTCAGTCTCAGAATAACACAAGCCACCAACCATTTAATCATCTGAGAAGTCAAATTCACTTTCAGAATCAGAATGTGTTCTTTCGCCTTTTTAGAATTTGTTTTGGGTGACATGGTAATAAATATAAGTTTCCTGTCAGGGAACGGCGATGTTAAATGTCAGTGGATCTATAGCAGACTGACATCAAGAGGTGAGATGATAGCTATTCTCCAGTAGTGTAACATACTAGATTTGTCCATGAGGCACCGCCTTCTGGGCATTAGACTCAAGGCAATGATAAATTAGGAAATTTCTAAAAATTTCACAACAATCAAGAAAAGAAATTGTCAGTAAATTGAAAACAAGGACATCAAATGCTCAGGGCTTGGCATGACCGATTGATAGAACCGGGCCCATCCTACCACCCGTCTAGGTGAAATAAGGGTTGAAGTGGTGTATTTGGAAAAGGAACGCTATTTCTGTGGCTCAGTCCCAGTTAGCCATAGCCAAGTAACCAAAGCAACTAGTTGCAGTGATTTAAGCATGGGCAGCTCTGTGGTGAAAGAGCATGTGGTCAATCCTGGTCATTGACCCGAAATGAAGAGGCAAGCACCGACAATGGTTTCAGCGAGCGCCTGATCTCCGTTGCGTGTGGCTGACTTCGCTGACCTTGTGATCCTAAGCAGGTCCTCGTGTTAGGCGTGCTCATGGTCCGTTACCTCAAAGGCATATATGGGCAACAAAATCTAGCACATCTCGCTCTCCTGATGCTCAATAAAAATTATACCAGATACCATCACATTTTGAACTAACAATATTCATTAAAAGATTGACTTTCAGTCAAATGAGCTGAATATAGAAAAACGTAAAACAAACATTACTCACCTGAATGTCCTTCACACATTCACGTTTGCTGTTTGCAACATTGACACCAGGGACGTCTCCACACACCTTCACTGCCTTTGACTCTGAAAACTTGTCCTCACAGTATGCTTGTGCCAGCGTCTCATTCCAGCCATTAAACCATCTTCCTGATGGTTGCACTTGCTGCAACATTGCCCACAATTAATTAGTAATACTCAAATCATACATATTTACACTGCTGTGCAAGAAAACCTGATGTCATCAAACATTACTGGACAAATGCAATATCATGTATCAAAAATGAATGAATATCATGGTAGTTTTTTCGTTATCAAGCTGACAAGTCACAGTGATATACAGAGATACTGACTTTTCTGATTAACGAAACATCCAGATTAACTCTGTTTCTTTGTTGCTTGTTTGTTGTTTAACACCGCAATCAATAATATTCCAGCTATATGAAGGCGGCCTGTAAATAATCGAGTCTGATTGACATCATGAGCATCGATGTATGCAATTGGAATACAATGACATGCATCAAACCAAGTCAGCAAGCCTGACTACATTTTAATTATGAACATTATAATCATGGCTTTGAATACCACATTCACCCTTGCTATGTTTCTAGTTTTGTCTGGACCTCACCAAAGAGGTAACAACTCTATCACATTGGGCTTTTCTCCGACATTAATTCAATAATAAAACAGAAATACTATTCAAAGCGCTAACCAAACACAGTGATTCACTCACTGCTAAGTTTAGACTGTTATTAGGATTGGGAGTTCAACACTTCAAATATCAAACAATAGTTATCATTGTGAATAATTCTAAGAATACCACCTCTATCACATCAGTGCCATAAATTCCTGTTTATGCTGAGAACCACACTATAAATTTTTATAAATTTTCAACAGACGTCCACTACACTGCCAATATATCCATAGTTGTGAGGGAAACCCTATCCCTTGCCAGAGGCGCCACTGCGCATGCGCAAGGCGGGAATCTAGTCACTTCTTTCAACCCATACTCTCATCAACTAGATGCAGATATTTGGGGAGGTGGGAGGGATTAATTCCTGATGTGATAGAGGTGGTATTCTTAGAATTATTCACAATGATAACTATTGTTTGATAATTCTTGTGAATACCTCACCTCTATCACATCAGTGCCAGTATACACCAGAGGGACCGGTGGGTTCTGGTATCTAGCATCCCATAGATATTTGGCTAGTGGAGTGGTAAAACCAAGGATTATATGCCAAAAGGGGTCTTAAACGGATGTGTCTAATAGTCTACTTACAAGACTTAGACGTATATAATTTTCAAGGTGTCATGTGAAGGGTATATGTATATTCCCTTGTGATACTTAGACTTTTTGTGACGTCGCTTCCTGTGATGACGTCATCTGTGACGTCACTTCCGGTGATGACGTCATCTGTGACGTCACTTCCGGTGTCACTATTCTCCCGTATCACTTATGACGTGGTTTACCGTTATGCCCTTTTTGGATAGTGATATTTAACGTATCTTAACGTTTCTCCGGTGTGATGACTCCTATGACGTCACTTCCGGTGGTAATACATTAACCTTCCTATCATGTAGATTACCGTATATCACTTAATCCTTCGATCTCTGATTTCAGTGTTGACATTTGCCCTGTTTTACTAACTCAATAGCGCAGTCCAGTAACAAAGTACAACTTACCCTGAGTTCCTGAGGTACTTCTGAAATCTTCACCCCCCCCCCCTCTCTTTTCCCTTTCCTGGAAGAGGGAGGGAACAGGTTACTTTATTTGGTAACTATCACCTGGGCGGCCACCAAAGGCCCCAGAGTGTATAGTCCATTTAGATCGGTCTGTATGTCTCGTAAGTAAAAGTTTGAAAAGGTGTTGTGGGTCTTCCACTGGCAGCTGGCCACGATTTGTTCGATGGATGCAGTATTCCATGTGGCTAGGCTTGTTGCCAGTGCTCTGATTTCGTGGGGTCTGCAGCTACCCCAAATCGGAGTTGAGATTTGTGCCGTTTTATAGCTATCTGTGATAGCTGTTTTTAGCCATCCCGCTACAGTGCCCTTTGCGATGTCCTTTTCTGACGAGGGCTTGCAAGAGATAAATAGGCGTTTTCTCTGCTTTCTGTGGGGTTGAGTCGCTGTGATAAAATATCTCAAGGCTCTTATGGGGCAAAGCAATCTATCCGGGAAGTCCACACTTTTACTTAAGGCTGGAATTGTGTATTGCCGATGTCCGAGTGGGCCGAAGGTTGACGACTGGTTTTTGGCAATAAATTCAGGGAGCGATCTGAACGACACTGATTTCCATTCTTTGGTATGGGTTACAGTGGAGATGTCAATAGCGTGTAGTTCTGACACGCGAGCCGCCGTAGCCATGGCTAAGAGAAAAGCAGTTTTCTTGGAGACTGATAGTAATGTCGCACTACTCATGGGTTCATACGGTGCTTTCATCAATGCCGACAATACTATAGATAGATCCCATTTAGGAAAAGTACGTGGTACTTTTATATCTTCCAGGGCAAAAGACTTCATAAGTCGATTTAGTACTGGATGGGTACCTATAGATAGGTCATCGTGTTGTAATACTGATGACAGGGCTGATCTATATCCTTCGATAGTGCCGTGTCGTAATTTCTTGTCATTTCTGAGATGGAGCAAGAAATCGGCTACTATAGGTATGGTTATATCTCCATGTAACTGTTTTCCTCTTCTCCATTCGACGAACTTGTCCCATCTGTTATTGTATAATGCAGATGAGGTTGGTCTCCATGAGCTAGCCACTCTTCGTGCAGCTGATTCAGAGTAACCGGCTGCTTGCATCTTATGCGAGATAACTTCCAAGCGTGAAGATGGAGGTTGTCGAGGCGGCCGTAAAATATGTCCGTCTTTGGTTGTCTCAATAGGTCGGGACGTACTGGGAGTTTCAGAGGTACTTCTAGCAGCAGTTGTAGGAGTCTCGGAAACCAAGCCCTTTTTGGCCAGGCCGGGGCTATGAGGATTATGACACAGTCCGTTTCCTCTATTTTCCTCAGTACTCTGTCTAGGAGAGCCCATGGGGGAAATGCGTAAGCAAACATTCCGTTCCATTCCATGGAGAGCGCATCGACTTGGAGTGCTAGTGGGTCTGGTACCGGGCTGACATAGACTGGTAGTTTGTTGTTGAGACATGTGGCGAATAGATCTATGTTTGGACTGTCCCATACCTGGGTTATCCACTTGAACACCTCGGGATGTAGTGACCATTCTGTGGGTACTATCTTGTTCTTCCGGGATAGGTAATCTGCTAGTATATTTAGCTTGCCCGGAATGTGTCTTACTTCGATCTTGCAACTCACTGAGTCTACCAAGGCATATAAACGTGTAACCTCCTTCAGTAAAGGCTGAGATCTTGTGCCTCCTTGGTGCTGTATGTAAGCGACCACGGTTGAGTTGTCTGTAGCTATCTTCACTGACGAGTGGTGTAGACGATCTAGCCAAGCTGTTAATGCTAGATATATTGCTCTCATTTCTAGACAATTGATGTGCAGCTCTTTGTCTTGGGAGGACCATTTCCCTTGAATGGTGACATCGTCCATATGGGCACCCCAACCCTCTCCTGATGCATCTGTGTAGAGTTGATGTAGGGGGGTGGGGTAGTTTAGTGGAATACCTGGCATGACATTTTGACGATCTAGCCACCAAAGGAGTTCTGAGATTCGAACTTCTGGGGGTTGGATTAGTGCTTCCAGCTCTAGGTTCTTGGTGGTGTTCATCCAAATCTGCAAGGACCGCAATTGTAGCCTGCCTCTGTAGGTTAGGTCTTGGATAGATGTGAGCGTGCCTAGGCAAGACATCCACCACCTTCTCGACTTGACGGGCTGATCGAGTGCGCTCGTAATCATGTGCTGTACCCTTGCATATCTGTCCTCTGGGGGTGCGACTATGCCTTTGTCTAGAATAAATCTTGCGCCGATGTAAGTGATGGTCTGTGTGGGTACTAGCTCTGATTTTTGAGAGTGAACCAGGAAACCTAAATGTGTGAGAAGTTGGATGAGACACACTGTGTTTAGACTGAGTTGTGATTTGTCCTGATCGACCGATAGGAAATCGTCTATATATCCGTGCAGCCTTATGAGCTTCATATGGGCGAACCCAATGACGGGATTGGTGATCCTGGTGAATAACCATGGGGCGATGGAAATGCCGAATGGTAGTACTCTGAACTGGTATCTCTGACCGTTGACAGCGAATCGTAGGTATCGACGATGGCTTGGATGGATGGGGACGTGAAGATATGCGTCTTGGAGATCTATGCTTATCATCCAATCTGCTTGTCTTAGGGAATTCTTTAACTTCTTTATAGATTCCATCTGAAATGTGGGTGGTTTTTCCAGGTAATCTTTGTTCAGAGTTTTTAGGTCTATTATTAATCTCATCTGTGAAGAATTCTTCTTCGGTACCAGAAAAACTGGGGAGTAGAATCCGAGGGTGGTGTCTGACTCCTCTAGGGTGCTGATAGCTCCTTTTGTGAGTAATTCTTGTATGGCCACTTCTGCTGCGATGAGCTTGGGTCCTGATAGCTGGAATCGGGGTCCGGTAGGATGAATGACTAGTTTTGGTCGTTTTAAGAAGTGAAGTTTGTAGCCTCTTCTTATTACTTCGATTAACCATGAGTCGTCTGTGATGGTCTCCCAGTTGTCTGCGTACTGCATAAGACGGCCCCCGACAGGCCCTGGGATAGGATGAGATTTGAACTTGGGAAGTCTTGAGTCGATGTTTGTAAGGTTGGCTAGTTCGACTGGATTTGGAATAGACTTGTCCTTGGTCTTCCGTAATGCTAAATCGTTGTCCGTAGGGCAGGCGAAGTCGGTAGGATCTGGATGGGTCTGTAGATTTATGGTGAAGTCATCTCCGGAGGGGGCCCCTACGGGAACTGCCTCTTCCTCTGCCAAGTCCTTTCTGTGAAGTGGGAAGATCAACTTTGGAGCTCTTGTACCTGGGTTGATACGATCTGTTTCTCTGTGTAGAGGCTCGAAAAGAATCCCGGCTGGGCTGTTCACGTCGGGGTCCAGGACTCCGTCGCTGGGGTCGAGTAACCGCCGGTTGTCTCTGTAACTTGGATGCTAATGAGATGGTGGATTCCTGAAATCTCTGGTTAGTTGAAGAGATAATGGCTTCCTTCACCGACTTCAGTCT